TTACATGTGAAGATAAGTTTTACTACATTTGCATTTTGGTTCAGAGCGTACACAGCACTTACTATAAAGAGGAGCTGCCAGGGCTGAAGATGGCAGACCTCTTGTCCTAGAAGCCTGAACCTGGGCCACTTTCTCGGTTCCCAGACCTCCTGTGCTATGTGAATAAAAATGAGAGGTTTGGACTGACTCCAAAATCTGTCACATGATGGAGGAGGTGAGGGGAGGGGGCCGTTTGGGGCATAGGATTTGGACGAATCACAGTTTGGGTGGCAAGGGGCAAAGGATAGCTGGGGGCTCATCAGCCGGCCTCTGTTCCCTGGCTGCACAGTCCACGCCCCACTTCACAAGCATCTGAAGTCCCAAGAACAGCTCCAGGGCTCACATATATCTTCACGAAGCATCATGAGCCTGGAGGTGCACCTGGAATTTCGGTAATCAAAGGTTATCAACACCCTGAGTCATAACCTAAGCTCCTAGTTCCTTGAAGGAGGGGGTCCATGAAGCACCAGCCATCCTTCCCTCCAGCTGGACACACAGGTGGCCTCCTTGTGCTACCAAAACAAGGACCAAGATGCATGGAGAAGAGACGGGCACTCCTGCCTTATTAAGGCTGCTGGGGATTTGCTGAACCTCTCCAGTTGTTACTTTCTCTCCTGTGTTTCCTTTTTTTTTCCCCTCAAAGAAGGTGGGGCTTATTCCCTGAAACAAAAGACTATGGGAAAAGAAGGTGGGAAAGGAAAGACATGAAGAGGATCCGTAGCAGGGAAATGTGACGTGCTTGTTCTCAAGCCTAAACAGCAAACCACGTGGCAGCTTACTGGCTTTTCTGTTGAGTCTAGATTTTAGGGTCACAAAAAATGGATGTGCAATTAAAACGTGCATACATTTAGGGCAGCAACAAGTATCTGGGACAGAGTGACTCTGACCCCGTGGGCTCCTCTAGAGATGAACAGTGGCACACACAAGGAGTGCCCGAAGCTTCCTAGGGCCCAGAGTCCAGGGACCTGGACACACAGGGCTGGCCTTGTTCCAGACCTGCATCCGGCTCTGCTCCTTCCCAGCCCCGCCTGCAGCTGCCAGCTCAGGGGCCTGTCTCGGGCCTGAGTGCTCCGAGCTCACCGTGTGTCCTTTCCAAGTGAGTCATGGATTTCTCTCACCACAAAGACCTCCCAGCACAGAAATGGCTTCAGTGAACCACACCCTGACTGACGCCACCAAACTTCAGTGACACAAAGGTGGCTTTCCAAGAAGTGCCAGGCCACTGCCCAGAACAGTCTCGCACTCAGATCCAATGAGCCCTGCCCTGCTCGGGCCACCTCCTCGTGAGGATTGGGGGCGCTCAACAAATGTCAAAGGGTCATGAGCTCCCTGCAAGTCAGGTCTGACCACAAAGCATTCACGTTTGACTTGAATGTTTATAAAGCAGAGCTCATGAGAACACACCAAGTCTGTTAGGAGAATCCTGCTGCAGATTCATTTGGAGTAGACGTACACATATACATACTCATGTACACATGCCATACATGCACACCACACACAAATGTTAATACCACCATGTGCATGTACACACAGATACCCACACTTACACAGATATATGCCTGTATACACAAATATACACATCACTAAGTGTGTATCAGATGCACGCTAAGTGTGAAATCATATGCATATACACAGATACCTACACTTACACAGATATATGTATCTATACACAAGTATACACACCACCATGTGCACGTACACACATACTGACACATACACAAACATATACATATATTCATAAATATACACACCACTAAGTGCATCATGATGGTGTGGCCAGACATCCTGGAATGTGAAGTCAAGTGGGCCTTAGGAAGCATTACTATGAAAAAACCTAGTGGAGGTGATGGAATTTCAGTTGAACTATTTCAAATCCTAAAAGATGCTGCTGCTAAAGCACTGCATTCAATATTCCAGCAAATTTGGAAAACTCAGCCGAGGCCACAGCACTGGAAAAGTCCATTTTCATCCCAATCCGAAAGAAAAACAATGCCAAAGAATGCTCTAACTACTGTACAATTGTGCTTCTTTCACATTCTATCAAGGTTATGCTCAAAATCCTTCAAGCTAGACTTCAGCAGTACATGAACCAAGAACTTCCAGATGTACAAGCAGGGTTTTGAAGAGGCAGGGGAACCAGAGATCAAATTGTCAACATTCATTGGCTCATGGAGAAAGCAAGGGATTTCCAGGAAAACATCTACTTCTGCTTCATTGACTATCCTGATGCCTTTGACTGTGTGGATCACAGCAAACTGTGGAAAATTCTTAAAGAGATGGAAGTAGATTACTTTACCTGTCTCCTGAGAAACCTGCATGCAGGTCAAGAAGCAACAGTTAGAACCGAACATGAAAAAACTGACTGGTTCAAAATTGGGAAAGGAGTGTGACAAGGCTGTATATTGTCACTCTGCTTATTTAAGTTACATGTAAAGCATGGGAACACCAGACCACCTGACCTGCCTCTTGAGAAAACGGTATGTGGTATGGTTTTAGAAAAGGCAGAGGAGCCAGAGATCAAATTGCCAGCATCCACTGGGTCATCGAAAAACTAAGAGAGTTCCAGAAAAACATCTATTTCTGCTTTAGTGACTATGCCAAAGCCTTTGACTGTGTGGATCACAATAAACTGGAAAATTCTGAAAGAGATGGAATACCAGACCATCTGACCTGCCTCTTGAGAAACCTGTATGCAGGTCAGGAAGCAACAGTTAGAACTGGACATGGAACAACAGACTGGTTCCAAATAGGAAAAGGAGTATGTCAAGGCTGTACATTGTCACCCTGCTTATTTAACTTACATGCAGAGTATATCATGAGAAATGCTGGGCTGGAGGAAGCACAAGCTGGAATCAAGATTGCCGGGAGAAATATCAATAACCTCAGATACGCAGATGACACCACCCTTATGGCAGAAAGTGAAGAGGAACTAAAGAGCCTCTTGATGAAAGTGAAAGAGGAGAGTGAAAAAGTTGGCTTAAAGCTCAACATTCAAAAACTAAGATCATGGCATCCTGTCCCATCACTTCATGGGAAATAGGTGGGGAAACAGTGGAAACAGTGGCTGACTTTATTTTTCTGGGCTGCAAAATCACTGCAGATGGTGACTACAGCCATGAAATTAAAAGACGCTTACTCCTTTGAAGGAAAGTTATGACCAACCTAGATAGCATATTAAAAAGCAGAGATATTACCTTGTCAACAAAGGTCCATCTAGTCAAGGCTATGGTTTTTCCAGTGGTCATGTATGGATGTGAGACTTGGACTATAAAGAAAGCTAAGCACTGAAGAATTGATGATTTTGAACTGTGGTGTTGGAGAAGACTCTTGAAGCATCGCTTGGACAGCAAGAAGATCCAACCAGTCCATCCCAAAGGAAATCAGTCCTGAATAGTCATTGAAAGGACTGATGTTGAAGCTGAAACTCCAATACTTTGGCCACCTGATGCAAATAACTGACTCATTGGAAAAGACCCTGAGACTGGGAAAGATTGAAGGCAGGAGGAAAAGTGGGTGACAGAGGATGAGATGGTTGGATGGCATCACTCACTCAATGGACAAGAGTTTGAGTAAGCTCTGGGAGTTGGTGATGGATAGGAAAGCCTGTCATGCTGCAGTTCATGGGGTTGCAAAATGTTGGACATGACTGAGAGACTGAACTGAATTGAAAGCACATCATGCGAAATACTGGTCTGGATGAATCACAAGCTGGAATCAAGATTACTGGGAGGAATACCAACAATGTCAGATATGCACCACTCTAATAGCAGAAAGTGAAAAGGAACTGAAGAGCCTCCTGATGAGTGTGAAAGAGGATAGGGAAAAAGCTCACTTGAAACTCCACATTCAAAAAACTAAGATCATGGCATCTGGTCCCATTGCTTCATGGCAAATAGAAGGGGAAAAAGTGGAAATAGTGACAGGTTTTATTTTCTTGGGCTCCATAATTACTGTGGATGATGACTGCAGCCATGAAATTAAAAGATGCTTGCTCTGTGGAAGAAAAGCTATGACAACCCAGACAGCATATTAAAAAGCAGAGACATCCCTTTGCTGACAAAGGTCAGTATGGTCAAAGCTACAGTTTTTCCAGTAGTCATGTATGGATGTGAGAGTTGGATCATAAAGAGGTCTGAGTGCCAGAGAACAGATGCTTTCAAACTGTGGTGCTGGAGAAGACTCTTGAGAGTCCCTTGAACAGCAAGGAGATCAAACCAGTCAATCCTAAAGGAAATCAACCCTGGATATTCACTGAAGGACTATTGCTGAAGTTCCAATACTTTGGCTACCTGATGCGAAGAGCCAACTCATTGGAAAAGACCCTGATGCTGGGAAAGATTGAAAGCAGTAGAAGAGGGTGGCAGAGGATGAGATAGTTAGTGAGCATCAGTGACCCAGGGCAAATGACTTGGAGCAAAATCTGAGAGATAGTGAAGGACAGAGGAAACTGGTGCTTGCTGCAGTACATGAGGTAGCAAAGAGTCGGACATGACAACAACTGAACAACAACAAATGTGCACGTACTCACAGATATCTACATATACACAAATACACACACATATATATACACAAATATACATACCACCATATGCATGGACACACAATTATTTACACATATACAAATCTATGCATATATCCACAATATATATACCACCATGTACACAGATATAGATAGTATACATACATAGATGTACAGATATATCCACAAATATGCACAGCACCATATGCATGTACACATGGATACCTACACACACACTTATGCATACATACATACACAAATATACACACCACTATATGCACATACACACAGACACTTGTACATACACATACATACACAGATATATACATGAACATGTCCTCCTTAAAATGAAACAGCCTTTTGGCTGCATCTCCCAGGGTGTTTTGAAGCATCCATCTGGTGCCCCCTTGTCCACCACCCCAGGCACAGACCCATTACTCACCTCTCTGCGTCAAAGTAAGAGTCGATATAGGGATGTGGGGCCCCAGCCACGGCAAAGTTGCTGCTTCCGGTGTCAACGAGTATCTGCAGCTTTTATTTTTAAGGGAAAAACAGAGAAACCATTAGGTTACTTGCTTAGGGCAACACTCTAGAATACTTCTCTTAAAAATTAAGTGCTGAGAACAATTTATTACTTGGAGAAATCGTATTGATTAGAGATATTTTTAAAAAGCTGCTAGAAAATTGAATTCCGAACACGGTCCATTGTGAAGCTTGCAAGGGCAGAGATCAGTTTAGCTTCAGATACACACCAGACCTTAAAAGAAGATAAATTCAGTGGAATAAGTGGGATTTCGTTTTCCAGCCATCCGTACTTGGTAACCAGGCAGAGCCCTTTCTCACCCTGGACTTTTGGCTGGGTTTGTCACTTGGCTGGGTAGCCCTCCTCCCGCCTTTCCAATCTCACTTGAAAATCCTCATTTACCTCCCACCTCCAACCCACACACCCAGTACATCTCCCCAGATACCTTCTGGCAGTGGGTATTCCCTCATCTCTGCTGCACAGGGCCTGGAAACAACTGTCAGAGGTATCACTTTTTTTTTTTAAGTTTTAATGAATTATTATTTACATACAATAAAAATGAAAGATCTTGGATTTTCCACTGGTGAGTTCTGACATGGTGTTCTCCCAAACCAAGATACAGAAATTCCTGTTATTCCCCAAAGGCCCCTCTATGCCCCTTTCTAGTCAATCCCCATTGTTTCTCAGAAGCAACCACTCTCTGACTCCTATTACCATGGACGGGTTTCACTGGTCCCTGGACATTATATAAATGGCATCATGTGGGATTTTTGGCAGGAGCTTCTGGCTTCTTCTCCTCAACATGTTTTTGGGCTTCCCATACTGAATAGAGAGACAATAAATACCCCTTTATGCACTGTGACTTTAGGAAATTAATTCTCTTAATTCCATTTATGAACACATAGTCACTATAAAAGTTTAAGGGTCTCACTACTTAGGGGTTTGTGTTGATTTCAGACAGAACACAATTAAAAGTATATATCTATATATTGGAGAAGGAAATGGAAACCCACTCCAACATTCTTGCCTGGGAAATTCCATGGATAGATGAATCTGGCGGGCTATAGTCCATGGGGTCGCAAAGAGTTGGACACAACTGAACTGAACATGAAGTAACTGAACATGCATCTGTTGGGTTGATGGATTAAATCATGAGCCACTGATGACTGATTCAACCTTCAACTCTTCTCCCTTCCCTGGAAATGAGGCTGAAAGTTCTAGCTCTCTACTCTCAGGGTTGGTTCCCCATCATTTGGGACTTTCCAAACGCCATCTCACTGACACACCTCAGGTAGGGTTGAAAGAGACTTGTTATGGAAAACAAAGGCACCTTTATCACCCTTATTATTGAGGAAGTTCCAAGGGTTTCAGGAGCCCTGTGCCAGGAACTGAGACAAAGATCAAATACATATTTCTCTGTATAAATATGTATTTCTTCACACAAATCATAATATCACATATGGGCAGTCAGCAAGTTCCGGAATCTCACCCGTCATTGGAATGAAGTCCATTGTCCTGACAGCAGACAGTCCAAGCTGACCTAATAAAACATGTAACTCACATGGCCTATGTTCTCAGCTCTGATTTCCTGGATTTAAATGGTTCCTAAAGGCAGGATGAATTTTTAATTTGCTTAGGTGAAACTAGTAGAGAGATGAACAAGAAAGAAAAAAACAAAAACAAACCCAGAATTCCAGGCTCACGACACTCATGAAAGCTTGCCATTTTTACAAGTCTTTCCCAGGGTTCTCTGGCAAACACGCAGCCAACAGCCCAGCAGGATGTGTGGGGAAAGACCAGCTGCCTGGAAGCCCAGGTTCCCAGGCTGGCATCCCACATCCACACCCAATGCTCCTGCATAACCAGCCACAGGCGGAGCAGACCCAGGGCTCCTCTCCTGGGCATAATGGCCCCGGGGCCAGGGACATGCTCTACAGACATTTCATTGTGCTTTCCCGGGTATGGAATTCCACCCGCCGCCTCTGCATCACACTAGAAGCACGTCCTTTCCACACACCCCCGTCCTTACTTCTTCCACGCAGCACATGGCCCCCCTTGCAGAGGCGGGCGACACAAAACAGAGAAAGCCACAGCAAAACACAGAAAGCGTTATCTTACACAGACGACATCTAATTGCCCAGGCGCTGGACACAGTCACACTCCCCAGCTGCTTCAGCAGAAGCCAGATTTCAAGAAAATTCAGTTTGGAGTCATGGCTCGGCCAAGTTGGTCATTCCCTCGGCTGCTGTTAGAGGAAAGGATTTGAGGAGAGTAAACGAGGCAGCCACAGAGTCAGGCGAGGAATGGATTTCTAGGGAGCAGTAAACACTCTGAGTGGGGCTTCAAGTAATGTTTCTGAGCTGTCAACACCTTTTTCTGTGTGATGACCTGGAAATAGATATTTTTCATGTTGAATTCTCGCCAGGGCCATGACTTTCTCTTTGTAAGTCCTAGTCTTAATCACAAAGAAAAAAAAAATACAGTCACTTGTCCTCTACATTTTATAGGACCCACCCTGAAAGCACGGACAGGCAAAGGCTCACTGCACCATTCCCCCGGACGCCTTGCCCCACTTCACACACACAACATCCCCTGCTGTGTGCTTATCTGTGGAATTTCCAGCATCACCTCCAGCCTCCTTGAGTTCAACTCAAACTGCAAATATAGTCTTACCCCAGAGGACATTATTCAACCCCACAAAGGGACATGGAAAACACACACAAATATGGGAAATGCACTGCACTTTCGAAGCACAACTGAAGATGAATCAGAAGCATGTATGAACCATCATCCCTGCTTTACAAGAAACGCTGCTGAGAGCTGGAAGTCCCCACCTCCTTCCCTATACCAAGCAGCCTCCTATAGAACCCACATTCCACTTCTTCCAGAATATAGCAATGAGGACAAAAATCTGCCTTCACAAAGAGCAAGGGTCCAGCATTCTGACAGTCGCTGGCTTTTCACTGCTCCAATCTCTTTGCCAACATTGGGGTTCCAGGGGCTATTTCATGGAAGAAGTGGGTCGCCACTGTGCATCATTTTCACACTCCAGTATATCTTTTCCAGAGAGCATCCAAGCATGGGGCATCCCCACGAGAGTGAGCCAACCACAGGGGCCCACCTGTGATTCATCATCTTTCATCCTTCATCCATCCAACAACTTGGACAGTGCTCAGTGCTTCCTTGGTGCTCAGTGAACAGTTGTTGAATAAACGAAAAAGTCTGGGACAGAGAGATTTTCACTGGCAGATGTGTGTGTGCATGTGTGTGTGCTCAGTTATGTCTGACTCCTTTGTGATCCCATGGACTGTAGTCCACCAGGCTCCTCTGTCCATGGGCTTTTCCAGGCAAGAATTGGAGTAGGTTGCTATTTCCTCCTTCAGGGGATCTTCCTGACCCAGGGATCAAACCCAGGTCTCCTGCATTGAAGGTAGATTCTTCTTAGTTTGAGTCATACCTTTGACTAATAGCCCCCATATCGCCTCCGTCCACCCTTCTGGAAACCACCATTCTACTCTGAGCCTTAAAAAAGAAGGAAATCCTACCATATGTACCACAATGGATGAACCTGGAGAACATCATGCAGAGTAAAATAAGCCAGATGCAGAAGGACAAATCCTACACGATCTCATATGAAGACTCTAAAATAGTCCAACTACCTGTTTTTAGGCTTCCCTGGTGGTTCAGAGGGTAAAGAATCTGCCTACAGTATAGGAGATGAGGGTTCAATCACTGCATCAGGAAGATTCCCCAGAGAAGAAAATGGCAACCCAGTATTCTTGCCTGGAAAATCCCATGGGCAGAGGAGGCTGGCGGGCCGCAGCCATGGGGCCACAGAGAATTGGACATGACTGAGCACACATGGTAATTACACACACAACTTTCAACAGGAGGTGGGGACACAGGTCAGTCATAGGTGGCCACTGACACAAACTCTGTGATATCCCCAGGAACTGCTGGCCGAGGGCTGGTCCTGGAGCAGTTTGAAGCCAACAGACTCTCCAGGAAGATTCCTTTAGGGACGTTCTTGGGGACAGTCAGGACTTTATCTCCATGCCTTGTTGTGGCTAGACAATGCTTTATTGTTTTTTAAAAGGCATATCTTGTGGGATTTTACTTTTCTCCTTTTGTTCTGACACAATAATAAGACACCTCTCACACTCTCTGCCAGCTGGCAGACTTCAACCACAAACCACACACAGTGCTGTCTTTGAGACCCAGGCAGTCCTGCATCCTCCAAAAGGCCTTTCAGTGGCAGCCCTGATCCATCCCTCTCCCACCCTGACCACTGGGCCCTGAGTTTTGGCCCCTCACTTGTCTGATGCCTTTTACTGGCCTCTCATTTTCTCCCAGGCCCACATCTTTTCTCTCAGGGAGCTTGTAAGTTGCTTGAGGGCAGAGCCCTTTTTCTTAGTCTCTGGAGCCATCTCCCTAATGGGAATTTGCTAATCATCTGGTCCCTAGGATGGGGAGGGGACACACATGAGCTCCACCTAGGAGTGGAAAGCTGATGAAGAAGGGGAAACTGCCAAGGAGCTGGAGAGAGTTTGCCAGGCCAAACTCCTGATACGTTTGTGCATAGCCTTCACTGAGCTTTTTCTATAACTGGCAAAGGTGGCTAACTTGACTTCCCAGTTGATATATGATGTATCACAAGCTGAAATCAAGATCACTGAAAGAAATATTCATAACCTCAGATATGCAGATGACACCACCTTTATGGTAGAAAGTGAAGAGGAACTAAAGAACCTCTTGATGAAGGTGAAAAGGAGGGTGAAAAAGTTGGCTTAAAACTCAACATTCAAAAAACTATGATCATGGCATTTGGTTCCATCACTTCATGGCAAATAGGTGGGGAAACAATGGAAACAGTGAGAGACTTTATTTTCTTGGGCTCCAAAATCACTGGGGATGGAGACTGAAGCCATGAACTTAAAAGACGCTTGCTCTTTGGTAGGAAAGCTGTGACAAACCTAGACAGCCTATTAAAAAGCAGAGATATCACTTT